TCTCTTTGGATCCACCCTCTCGCTCAGAAGTCGAACATGAGATCGGACTGTTGAAGTTGAACAAAGCCGCGGGACCTGATGATCTTCCTCCAGCCCTCTTCAAATTCGGGGACCTGCTCTTGTGGATGATTTACACGAGTTACTAGTGAAACTGTGGGAGCAGGAAACTGTCCCAACCGATTGGAGCCGCTCCGTCATAGTCCCAATTTTCAAGGGAGGCTCACGATCGGAATGCGGCAGCCATAGAGGAATCAGTCTGATCTCCATCGCCTCCAAATTGCTTGCCTCTGTCCTTCGTCACCGACTGACTGACACTCGTGAAAGCCAGATTCGTGAAGAGCAAGCTGGATTTCGTCGAGGTCGTAGCTGCATTGACCACATCTTCACCTTGCGTCAGTTGTTGGAGCACCGTCACATTTATTGGCGGCCCACCGTTGTCGTGTTCATCGATATCCAATGTTCATACGATTCGGTGGATAGACGTGCAATTTGGGGCTGTCTACTCAGAAAAGGTGTACCTGAGAAATAAGTGAATATTATCCGAGCATTATATGCGCATAGCTCGGGCGGAGTGAGGGCTTACGGCAAGTTGTCGTCCCCCTTTAATATCTCCAGCAGCGTGAGACAAGGATGCCCGCTGTCACCTTTCCTCCTCAACTTCGCTTTTGACGAATTCATGGAACTCGCGTTCACAGGACACGACCTTGAACGTGTGGATCTGCTCCCAGGAGAACGACTTCTTGACTTAGAGTATGCTGATGACAATGCCCTAATCTGTGACAGCTCACAAACGTATCATGCGGCACTGGACAGATTGCACTATCTGTCTGTCACTTCGGGCTTTGCTTCGCACCCATGAAATGCAAAGCGTTTCTGCAAGATTGGTCTGGACCGCCTCCTACGCTGACCGTTGGTGGGGATCAGCTAGAAGTCGTTCAAAAATTCAACAACCTGGGAAATTGTATCAGCGCCTTTGGGAATGAGAATGGGATCACGAATCGTATAGCAAA